TCTCTAATATAAACTCTTTATTTACACTAATTTTCATCTCAGTGTTTAATTTTAATGGTATTACACTGAATAATACTATATTTGTGAAAGGATGTGTATGTAAATACAATTTATATAGTATATAAATTAACATACACTTTAATATCAGGTTATAATTATGTTGTATAACCTTACTTAATATATTAAATATTGTTTTCATTGATATTATTTTTAAATTAGTCTAATCGACTCGGCTAGTATTTTTATCTCTTAGTCCCTAGCAATAGACTATAACCTATATAGGTTTCTGCAATTATGCAGATATTCTCTTAAGGAATCGAACCTTAGTAATCTTTAAGACAGCATAATTAAACCTAAATAATCTTAAGATCGGATTAGCCAAATCAAGAGAATGTCAATGGGTATTATATGTATCTATATTGTATAAATATCAAACTATGTTTATTTAAACCTGATTGTAGTTCAGAGAGTTCATCAAACAACAATTTCATTATTAAATTATTAGTTTTATCTCTGTTAATACTATCTTTTTTAAATTGAGTTCTACTGCTAGGTAAATCTTTTCAATCAATTATAATAGATTTTCCTTGAAGAAATTCCGATTGTTCTTTTAAAAGATGGGATTTTACTTTATACAAAAATCTTATTTCAATATTTGATTTATCTTTTCTACCAGCAAATATAAACGAATGTCAAAGTTTATTTAACAATCTTGGAGTGCTTGTTTTATTTAAACTTTTTAGTGAATACCCTTTGTCAAAATTGAATCAGATATATTTAGGCATCTTTTTCTGCTTCTTTAGCTAAATAATCAACAATTTAGATATAAATATGTTAATGAGTTTAAAATTCTTTTAATAAAAAAAATAATTTATCTATTTTTTTAATATCATAGTTGAAGAAACTATTATTGTTTACTCTATTGTTTATAATTTGTAATAATTTATCTTTATTATTTCTATCAACCAACTGATTATAAAGTAGATGATAATATCTATGTTTATTTTGATCTTTTAATCTAACATTAACATTTATAGAATATACAATATTACTTCCTGTTTCTTTATATATTTCAGTGTAAATTTTATTTACTAAATTTTCAACTAATTTTTTATTAAACCCATTATCAAAAGTTATGTTATATTTAAGTTTCATATTATAATAGCTACTTTTATTAGAAATCTTAACAATATTAAGATTATAGAAAAAGGTTTAATTAAACTAATGCTCTAAAAAGGAATTGAACCTCTGTCAATGATTCTTCAGATCACTACTTTACCACTAAGCTATTAGAGCTTAAATTGAGATACTTAAGAATTTATAGATGGAGAAAAAGAGACTCGAACTCTTATCTTCGTAATGCAAATACGAAAGAATAACCATTATCCTATTTCCCCTATTTAAGAAAACAGTCTTTAAGCTAAAGTTACTTATAAAAATAAAAAAATTTATAGCGCAAACTTTATAATTTCGTGGGTAGATTCAAATAATCTAGCCCTTGTTTTAAATAAGAACGAGAAAGGTGAGAATCGAACTCACTATAATTATTCCCCCAAAGAATATAGCCTGCCATTAGCATTCCCTCTCTTTATTTTTTATATTAAAAATTTATATTATAAAAATCTTTGCTTTAATATAAACAGAATAAATTATACAAGCTTCAGGCCAGAGGCACTAAAGATTTAATTATTAACTAATAAAAATAAAATAGGTTATAGCTTAAGCATACAAAGAAAAATTGAAATAAAAATTTACCTTAAAAAGGCCCTTAAACATTACAAACAAAGAGACTTGAACTCTTACGGAATCGCTTCCACTTCTACTTAACAAAAGACTGGCTACCAATTTCAGCATGTTTGCTTTTTATATTTTATAGTATAATTTATTCTATGTAATAGTACATAGAATAATAGGCACAAATTATTCATCCCTATAAAATCTTAAATTTTATAGCTAAAGCAGGAGGGAAGGGGAATTTTTTATTTTTAATATTTTCCAGCAGCACTTTCCAGTACGGCTACCTTGCTATGACTTATTAAATGTTACTTACTAATTCTGGAAACAATTAAAGGGCTCTATAAATTAGTATGGTTTATCTAAATTAAAAATAAAAATAAACTTTGTACTATAAGAGTTATCCTTTTCACGGTTTCTTCCTAAAAGGAAAGCTTCTTCCAATTGACAGACAGTTAGTTCATCCTAAATTAAATTTTCACCGTTGCGCTTGTGATCAACGATTACTCGAAATTCCTACTTCATAAGGCCGAATTTCAGGCCTTAATCTGGTTATAACTTTTTTTAATGATTAGCTCCTCATTTGTACTTTACTTAAAAAAATTTTTAAATAAAGAAGATAAGTATTGCTTCACTTTGTAAAAGTTTTTGTGGCACGTCTATAGCCCATTCCATGAGGGCCATAAAGGCTTGTCTTAGTCCCAATTATTAGACTATTTATTATAATCTAAATTGCTAAGTATAAATTAGCTATAGGGATCGCGTTCGTTTGTGGAATTAACCTCACTCCTCACGATACGAACTGACGACAGCCATGCAACACCTGTAACTATTTCTTAATATAATAAATTTATACTCTTTCGAATATAAATAAAAAATAAAAAGAGTGATAGATATGCAAGGAATGGTAAGATTTTACGCGGATTATCGTATTAAATAACATACTTCACTTCGTTTGCTTTAGGACCGACTAATTTTTTTGTTTTCATTTTTGCAAATATACTCACAAGGCGGAATGGTTATCGCTGTTAACTTCAAAACCAGTATAATAACTGAAAATTGCCATTCATCGTTGACAGTGTGGGATACCGGGGTATCTAATCCTATTTTCTATCCACACCTTCGTTTCTCAGCGTCAATCTTTATTTGGAAAGGAGCCTTCGCCACAAGTATTCCATTTAGGTTTTATAGATTTTAACCTTACCCTAAACATTATCCTAACCTCTATTAGATTCTATCTTCTAGTATGTTCCTAATTAATAAAAAATTAAATTAGGTAGAAGCTGCCTACAAACCCTTTACGCCAAATCATGAGGATTAACGTTCGCGTCTCTGGTATTACCGAGTCTTCTGGCACTAGTATTAGACAACACTCATAGTAAGGTAACGTCATTATCCTCCCTTACTTTATTCATTACCTTAAAAAAAATAATGAATTCCAGTTGGCTTGTTCACTCTTTCGAGCATTGACAAATATTCTCGGCTGCTGGTAGTAAAACACTACTTGGGTAAATTTCATACCCGATGTGGCCAATCACCCTTTCAAGTTGGCTATTGATTATTGGCTTGGTAAGCCTTTACCTTACCAACTACCTATTCAACATAAATAGAAACCTTTAACAGAAAAATTCCTTTAATACATATACAAAGTATATGTTTTATCTTATAGTTATTAAGATTAAAGGATATCTTATTTACTTATACTCACCCGTACACCCTATTAACCTAAATTAATAGCGATTTGCATGCCTTAGACCACTGGATAACGTTCAATCCGAACCAAAATCAAATTCTTCTAATTATATTACTTTGATATATTAATTTAATTATTATGCTAAAACAGAATATTAAAAATAATCAAAGGTATTGTATGCACTATTATAACTTAAATTACTTAATAAAGTATTTTATTAAAATAAAGTTATAGTGATAATTATATATTTATATTGCTACTTTTATAATTTAGGTTTTATCTTTATTAATTGGTAAATATTTAATACACAATAATTAAACACATCATCTTTTATATTTATAATTGAATTTATCCTATTAAAAATTTTTCTTTTTTTACGGATATTTATTCTCTTAAAATAAAAATTAATGGTAATATACTTAGTAATATTTATTTGTATCTTATTAAAGGAATAAGATAAATTCTTTCTATCTTTCTCTTATATATCTTTTTTTTACGGAATAGAGAGGATTCGAACCCCTAAAGGTAAATACCCAACAGTTAGCAACTATTTTATCCTGCCAATGAAAACTATTCCTTTTAAAACTTTATATTAATTACTTATTTATAAGTACAGTGTTAGGATTCGAACCTAAATCTACAGATCATGAGTCTATGATGTTCCCATTACACTACACTGTATTCATTATTAGACTTAAGCTTTAAAACCTATTTTAGATCCTATATAAGAAAAATAATATAGACACAAGTGGGATCGAACCACTGACTTTCCCCTTAAAAGGGGGACACTCAACCAACCGAGTTCTGTATCCTTTCTTGAGTATAAATTTAATTTTTCTGTACTATGTTTTAATTTTATTTAACTTTTTGTAGACTTTTAAGTATATTAATAAACTGAGTCGACCAGATTCGAACTGGTATAACCCACTACCAAAAAATGGTGTTTTCCCTAATTAAACTACAACTCATAAATGTTTTATGGGCTAGGCCCTAAAATTTAGCCGGAGAGTGGAATTGAACCACTAACTGATTTTTACAAAAAATCTGTTTTAACCAATTGAACTACACCGGCGCATTTTTATATAAAAATTTATAATTTAGACCTTCAATCTAAAGATAATATAAATTATAGTCTTTACCAGATTCGAACTGGCATTAACGACGTGAAGAGCTGCTGTATTACCATTATACTAAAAGACCTAAATATTAAATCCTTATATTATCCTGTACTTTTCCTTTAAATAGTATAAAGTTATTTACTTCTTTTAATTGTTACATATTTGCCTATAAATAGTATATTAAACATATAATTAATAAATCAGAATAAATAGGAGTATTAGTAATATAATTATTGACATTGCTTTTAATAAAATTTTATTTCAACAAGAGCTAGGATTAAAAAATTAGATCACTAATAGTTAACCATCTACCACTACAAATAAGAACAATGGTTTTAGAAATTTAATTAAAAAAAAGGGTAATACATTTAAAATGTAAATATTGTTTTCTGATAAGTCTCAATCGGGTATTATCCGAAAGGGAGGTAGGGGCCTCCGGACCTAAATATAATTTTTTATTTTTCTGATATAGTATCTTTTTTTAAATATTTTCTCAGATTTAATGTATATTGAAATGGTACTTTTGTGGATATTAAATTTATTAGCTAATCTTACTTGATTTAGAAAAGTTTCAATTAGGTTATTATTTAGATCATATAATCCTAAAGGATTTTTGCTGTTACCTAAAGAAATTTTTCTTTTTGTATCCAAGCTATGTTTTTTATTAAACATAGGATTTAAATGACCACATTTTCTTAATTTTAAAAATTTTATTGTTTCAGAAGTATGTTTATACCTTAACACAGGTTTGGCATCTTTTCTAAAATTATATAAATTTTCAAAAGGAAAACTTTTAATAACCTTTGTTTCTATATCAGTTAATATTACATTAGTATCATTATGAAAATAATAAATTACTAATATAAAACTGTCTAACCCATATTTATAAATACTTCTTTGTAATCTAATATTAGAATTTCTTCCTTTTAAATGACAATTAATTCTTTGATAAAGATTACAGCTACTTCCTATGTATTGTTTACCATTTGGGAGATAAATCAGACCATATACGCCTCCTTTTTTATATAACTCTGCTCTTAAACTATAAAATTTATCTAAATTTGTATATGTTTTTATGGGAACAAAAATATAAGAGTAATATAATAAAATTTTAGTTAATAAATTTAGGATAATTTCTGAATATTTACCTAACAAGGTAAATACAGTACTCAACATAAAGATAATTAAATAAATAATTAAAATTGTTGTAATAACTTGGAAGTTAAATATATTAATGATTTTCATCTTCTTTTATAATAGCAATACCCATTACTTTTATAAAAACAAAAAAAAAATTTTTTTTAATAAATCTTATTAGTAAATTATTACTAAATAGTTTATATGAAAGATTTATAATAAATTCTATTAACCACCTCATCAATATACAACTACAAATAAGAACAAGGGGGGAGGATAAACTTTTATAGTTTTAATACCTATTACTTTTATAATAAATTTAAAAAGGGGGGAAGGAATATTTTTATAAAGTTAAATAATTCTAATTAAGAATTAACCTCCTCATCAGTATACTACTACGAATAAAAATAGTCACACAACATCGACGAAGTGTCAATATAAGATTGCAGCCTCATATCCTAAATGATGCATATCTGTATAATGATAGAAAATCATTCTAACAAATCCTACTAAAATAAAGATAGTTCCTACAATAACATGTAATCCATGTAATCCTGTAGATGCATAGAATACTGTACCAAATACTGAATCTGCAATAGTAAATCCAGCTTGTGAATACTCTACACCTTGTAATGCTGTGAAAACTAAAGCAAATACAATAGTTAAGAATGTACCAATTATAGCATCTTTTCTATTACCTTGGATTAAAGCATGGTGAGCATAAGTAATAGTTACTCCAGATGATAATAATAATATTGTATTTAATAAAGGTATTGCAAAAGGATCTAAAGCAGTTATTCCTTGAGGTGGTCAAGTACTTCCTATTTCAATGCTAGGTGCTAAACTAGAATGGAAATATGCTCAGAAAACACTTATGAATACAAATACCTCACTAACAATAAATAATACTACACCTAAAGTTAAACCTTTTTGTACTTGTAAAGTATGAGCTCCTAAATAAGTAGCTTCTGTAATTACATCTCTAAATCAAAAGATCATTGAAAGACCTGTTAATACAAAACCTAAAGTTAATAATTCTCCACCATGAGAAAATCCATGGAAGTATAATACAGCTGATATAGCCATAGTTAATAGAGAGAAACTAGTTAAAATAGGTCAAGGTGAAGGGTCTACTAAATGATAAGGAAATAATTGATATTGTTTATTCATTTATTTTCTATTTTTAATAAAACATAAAAAAGTTTTTTATATTTATTTTTATTAGTATATATTATTTTCTATTTGTAATTTAGAAAGTATACACTAAAAATAAATATATAAATTAATTATAAGAATATTTTACAGTATTTAATTATATTCTAAAAAACTTCTAGCCTATAAAGTTATTACGAGTCCTACCGGACTCGAACCGGTATATACCTAAGTGACGCTAAGGCACTTTACCAATTAAGATAAGAACCCTTATTAATAATATTAATACTTAAGCTCAAGAAGAATCGAACCTCTACCAATTTCCTATCAAGAAATCATTCTACCATTAAATTATGAGCTTTTTTCTTTTTGTTTCTTTCTTTTTTTGTTTTTTGTTTCTTTCTTTTTTTTAAAGGGGGAAGGAATAAAAATTCCTTGCTTTGCTTAGTTAAGCATAGCTTTAATTCATAATTATGAATATAATAATAAGAAAGCAATCATTAAACTGAACAATCCTGTAGCTTCTGCTAAAGCGAAACCTAAGATTGCAAAAGTAAATAATTGACCTCTAACTTGAGGGTTTCTAGATGTAGAAGCAATTAATGAAGAGAAAATTAATCCAATTCCTGCTCCTGCTCCGATTAATCCTGAACAAGCTAATCCTGCTCCAATATATTTTGCTGCAGCTAACATTTCTGTAATTTTTAATTTTTAACCTTTTTATCTAACCTACTTATTAAGGTTTAAGCCAATAATATAGTAAGTAATTATTTTTTAAAAATATCGGACACGGTGAGATTCGAACTCACGACTAACTATTAAGTAATCGTTTTCAATACGACCGTATTAAACCACTCTACCACATGTCCTCGATATTCCTTCTTTTAGAAGGAAGGAGGGGGTAAATTTACTGCTTTAGTATTGTCATTAATTTTTCTAATATAGTATTTATATAGTAATTATTTTTATGCATGTACTATAATAAATATTAAGAATTAACAGGCTTTGTAGTCCTTTAAGGGATCGAACCTTACTTAGCATACAGGAAGATGGGTAACTTATGCTTGATTCTCCAGAATCAAAAGGACTGTAAATTGATTATATATAAATCTATAAGATAAGAATAATGATTCTTTATAGAATAATCCCTGGTGTAAACCATCTATTTACGGGATTTTAAAAGTGTTTCAACATAATTTGAAGCACTATTATAAATTAGATCGTAACAATCATCTCTTAATTCGTAAGTATAACCAAATTCTCTTAAATTTATAGTTAAATTATTACTAGGGATAGTAAATATTTCTCCTTTCACTATTTTAATCCATCTTCTCCGGTAGAGTCTTTTATTCTATACAATATTTGCACTTGAATATTTTTGTTATAAATACTAGATAAGAGTACTGGACCACATCAAAATAACTAAACATACTTTTTAATGATTTACTATGCAGTTTTTTAAGGTATACTCAATCAGTAAAAACATATCATTTATTTACGGTCATGTAACAGTAATAAGATTTGAACTAATATTTTAAACTATGAGTTTATGTGTTAACCATTACACTATACTTTTTTATGACTTATTAAGTCTAATTAATATTTAGATAACATTAAGCTTTATGACTTATTATGTATTAAAAAGTTAACGGCTTTAAGACAAATATGATTTAATATTTACAGGTTTAGTAATAATATAAATTTTACTTACTTTTGTTATATCAAAGTCTAAGAATCTATTATGTAGAACTTTTTGTATTATAGATTCTCTTAAAAGAGTTTCGTCTTTAGGACCTATAAGAATTTTTTTTTAACTTTAAAATATTTAGGTTTATCAGTATCAGTAAGCATTTTTAAATTGACTGATATATCATAAAGTTGATTATTATTAAATTCACTATTAAAGAAGTCTTTAACTAAATTAACAACTTTATCTTTGTTAAAGCTGTTATTAAAACTTAATATAAATCTTTATGTAAAATTAATAAAGTATAATACCAGTAAAAGTAGGTAATATTATTTTTTATAAGTAATATAAAAATATTAGGATATTATAGCATAGGGGTTATGCAGAGTACTGTTAATGCTTTTTACAGAGGTTCGAATCCTCTTAATATCTATATTTAATTTATTTAATGTCTCTATATTTAAGCGTTTAAATTAAAAGGGACTTAATTCTTACTCATTTGAATTAATATCTTTTTAATATATAATAAGAGTATATAATTACACTCTTAATAAATATAATTAATTTAAGGTATAACCTGCTTATATAATAAACTAATATGTCTATTATTTAATTAGAATATTTTAGTAAATGTTATATAAGTTATAGCCTCTAGGATATTAACCTAGTATAACCTATATTTTCTTATAAAATTTATATAAAAGTATAAATACTAGGAAGGCAATAAAAAAATAATAACATATAAATGAAAAGTCTTTTATTAGAATTATTAGCTTTTGGAGCTATAGTATCTAGTGTTTTAGTTATCACATCTAAAAATCCTGTAATATCTGTATTATTTTTAATTTCAGTATTTATTAACACAGCAGGATATCTTATAATATTAGGTATAACTTTTGTAGGTATAGCCTACATTTTAGTATATATTGGAGCTATTACAGTTTTATTTTTATTTGTAATAATGATGATTAATATTAAATTAGTAGATATATTAGAAGTAGGAAATGAATATACTAAAAATTTACCTCTAGCTTTCTCTGTAGGTGCTCTATTTTTCTTTGAAATTTTCTCTACTTTACCTTTTTCAGTTAATAATGTTAAACATTACTATGAATTATTAAATGTACCTTTAGAAATCTTAACTTCTACAAATAAATTAGTTTTAAAAGATTTTTTTGGAGTAAATGTTCCTAGTATGCACATTAATATTAGTTCTAATCCTATAATAGCAGATACATCATTTACTAATTTCTTACATATAGAAATGTTAGGTCAAGGTCTGTATACTTATGGTGCTTTATTATTAATTTTAAGTAGTTTAATTTTATTACTATCTATGATTGCTCCAATCATTTTAAGTACACGTGTGAAATAATCTTATTAATTACACTATATATTAAACACAAAGAGTAAAAATTTTTTTTATTTTTACTTTTTACCCCCTTATTTTAATCTTTCTATTGTTACTATTGTATTAATTTAGTGAATATATTCATATAATTAACTTACGTTTCAGTTATAGAAAGTATAAATAGTCTTTAGTCTATAATAGTTATCTTTAAAAGAGGTAAAATTAGTTTAATGGTAAAATAACGTCTTGTGGCGACGGTGGATCTGGGTTCAAATCCTAGATTTTACCCTTATATTTATGAAAATATAATTTAATTAATATTAAATAGTAGCTTTAAACTGAGGATAAAATTTATGCTCACAATACATAAGTTTTATTTAGGCAAGTTCTTGATCATAAGTATTATATAAATACTACAAATTAATTATGGTAATAATACAGTAATATTAAATATAAATATTCTATTTGTAGTATTCATGGTTTCTTATTTTTTATTAATAAAGGATTATCATTTAATAGAAATATTTATATTTTTAAAGTTTAACTCCTTATTAAGATCTTTAATATTTAGTTTTATTCAGTAAAATTTATATTTTAAATAGAGTATAAATAATAACAAAATTCGTCTTATAACTTCTATTTAATTAATAAGAATTATTGCCTATTAATTATGTTGTTAGTATATCATGACTATATTAATATAAAATAGACAATACCTCCCTTTTTATTATACTTATAGAAAAATAAAAAATAAGATGGAATTTAAGGTATATAAGTTGATATAATTTAAATGGTTAAAATGTATCATTCATGAAGATACTATGAAGGTTCAATTCCTTCTATCAACTTTCTATGACTATATGATTAAACATTCTTAAAACATCTTTAGTTAAATTGGTATAGCATTTGTATACGGAGCAAATATTATTGGTTCAACTCCAATAGGATGTTTACTTCATAAAGTATAAACTTTTAAAAGTGGTGCAACATATAATTGTTTTTTTTATATCCAATAATATAGATATAATGAGGTAAACTTTTACTTAAAAATTATATAATTTAAATTAGAAAATGAAGAGGGCCAGGCCCAGGAAATTTAGGAAAATTTAAAAAAAAAATATTTTTTTTTGTTTTTTTGTGTTTTTTTGTGTTTTTTTGCAATCATCTTTTATAAAACTTTATAAAAATAAGGGGGTAGGTCTAAACAAAGACCTAGTATTAACTATTTCTATTATTCTTATACCAAAATTTTAATATACAGCAATTATATCAAAAGCTATTAAAATACTTGGTACTAATATAGTTAAAGCTATAGCTATAGGTAAAATTCCTGTTCAACAGAATAACATTAATTGATCATATCTTAATCTAGGTAGAGTAGCTCTGAATCAAACAAAACAGAAACAGAACATACAAGTTTTCAGACCTAATATAATACTTTGTAAATTAATGAATGAATTGTTTACAAAAATTTCTGGAAGGTTATAACCTCCAAAAAATAGTATTGCAGTTAATGAAGACATTAAAACAATTGAACAATATTCAGCTAAGAAAAAGAATACAAAAATAATTGAAGAATGCTCAGTAAAGAATCCCGCCACTAATTCCGATTCAGCCTCTTGTAAATCGAAAGGAGTTCTACTTGTTTCTGCTAAAATAGAAATAAAGAAGAAAAGGAAGACAGGAAGTAAAGGAACAACATATCAAATAGATTCTTGATTTTCTATAATCGCAGTAATATTAAATGAACCAGTAAGAAGAATTACTATAATTACAGCAGTACTTAAAATTAATTCATAACTTATCATTGCTGCAGTACTTCTTAAAGATCCTAAAAAGGCATATTTAGAGTTAGCAGATCATCCTGCAAATAGGATACCATAGATACCTAAAGAAGATAAAGCTAAAGTATATAAAATCCCTAATGAGAAATCTGATATCACTAAACCTTGCCCAAAAGGTATTACACCTCAACCTAATAAACTAAATATTAAAGTCATAACAGGTGCTAAATAAAATAAAGTTTTATTAGATTGAGCAGGTATAACTGTTTCTTTTAAGATTAATTTTAAAGCATCAGCAAAAGGTTGTAAAACACCATAAAATCCTACAGTATTAGGTCCAACTCTTCTTTGCATAGCGGCTAATTGTTTTCTTTCTATAATAGTCATGAAAGCTACAGCTAATAGCATTGGAACTATTACTATTAATGTTTCTAATAATAAATATAATGTGTGAAGCATAGTATAATTTAAATTTTTTAATTAAGCTATTTCCAAAATACAATAATTATATACTTATATTGGCAGAATAAAACTCAGCCATAATCTACTATTCGTAAACTAATGTTAAGGTAAACTAAAATAAAAATATTTTAGTTAGCAGTTAGTAAGTATATAAATTAAATTGTATAGGTATTAAATTTCCACTTATGAACTATATTCAATAAGAATATAGAGGAAAATAGGATATTTTATTAAGTATCTATCCTTGATTATATTATTAAACCTAAGCATAATATTATAATGGAAAAATACTTACAAAATAAATAGCCAGGATTTGCATAAAAATTAAATTCTTTTTATAAGAAAAAATCTAATTTTAAAAAAATAAGGGGGAAGTCTAAGATAAATCAAAGACCTATTCATAATTATATTAAATTAAGATATAGAATATCCTAAATAATATAAATTAAGAAACTGATTCTAATCAAAGTATAAATTCATTTTTAGGTAAAGCTTCAACAGCTATAGGCATAAATGCATGATATACTCCACAAATTTCTGAACATTGTCCTCTAAATACTCCAGTTCTTAGAGCAATGAAAGAAGTTTGATTTAATCTACCTGGAACAGCATCGATTTTAATTCCTAATGAAGGAACAGCAAAATCATGGATAACATCTGTAGATGTAACTACAAATCTAATATGAGATTTTACTGGAACTACAATTCTAGAATCAACATCTAATAATCTTAATTGTCCTAATTCTAGGTCATTATCAGGTATCATATAACTATCAAATTCTATAGATTCTCCACTTTCATTAATAAAGTCTGAGTATTCATATGATCAATATCATTGATGTCCTACTACTTTAATAGTCATTTCTGGAGTTACTACTTCATCTAACATATATAATAATTTAAAACTTGGGAAAGCAATAGCTATTAAAACTAAAGCTGGAGTAATTGTTCAAATTAATTCTATTAATGTACCGTGGTTAGAATATTTATATACAATAGGTGAATTTTTAGAATTGAAGTTTAGGATTACGCTTCCTAAAACTCAGAATACTCCTACTGAAATAACTACTAGATAGAAGAAAATAGAATCATGTAAATCTGTTATACCTTCAAAACCAGGAGCAGCTGGATCTTGGAAACCAATTTGTCAAGGTTGAGGAGCATCATTTAAAATAGGTTTAAATATAGTAATTGTATCATTATTATGAATTGTTGTTAATTAATGATATAAATATTTTATTATATCTTTCTGATTTCTATGTTTTGATACTATCTTGTTAAAAAAATATAACTTAAGTATTATAGTAAATAGAAAAAATTTACTTTATTCTTTTAATCTTTCAATATATAGAATAAAAAGTAAATATAATCTTATAATAAAGATAGTAAATAGAAAACTGATTTAATATTATCATTGCTTAGTTAGATTATTCGAATCTAAGACTATGTATTTTAATATTTATTAAAATTAGTACAAGACAATGATTTCAATAACCTTGTGAGTAAAAAAAAGATCTTTAATATGTTTAAATTTAACCTAGTACCTTTAACTTACATTATAAAAATATAAGTATAATTTATTCTTACAAATAAAGGGTAGTATTAAACTTAACAATAAAGTCTAATAATAATAGGCTATCACAATTTATTAAAAATAAAAAGATAGCATGATGGAGTAAAAAAAATTAATCTCTATTATATTTTACGATCCTATAATTTAAAGTAGTTTGTGCTAACTTAAACAAAGGATATAAAAAATAAATTAAGATTGGATAGGTAAGCTTTCATAAGCGTGGAATGGAGTAGGGCTAGGTAATGTTCATTCAATATTTTTATTTGCTAAACATTCACTTTGGAATATTTGGTCCATTGTGAAGTATTCAGGATAAGCTCAATTACTTAAAGCTGAGTTATCTTGGATAGGTTTACTTTGGAAAATATCATAGATAATATATCCGAATAAAACTGTAGCTACTACTGAAATAATAGATCCGAAACTTGAAATTGCATTTCATTGAGCAAATGCATCAGGATAATCAGGTATTCTTCTAGGCATTCCTGCTAAACCTAAGAAGTGTTGAGGGAAGAATGTTAAGTTAACTCCTACAAACAAAGTTCAGAAATGAATTTTACCTAATGTTTCATTATAAGTTAAACCTATAATTTTAGGAGATCAGTAATAGAATCCAGCAAATAAAGCAAATACTGCACCCATTGATAAAACATAATGGAAGTGTGCTACTACATAATAAGTATCATGTAAAGCAACATCCATTGAAGCATTAGCAAGAACAACTCCTGTTAATCCTCCAATAGTGAATAGAGCTACAAATCCTAAAGCAAATACTAGAGGAGTTGTAAATCTTAATGAACCACCATAGCAAGTAGCTAATCAAGAGAAGATTTTAATTCCAGTAGGAACTGCGATAATCATAGTTGCCGCAGTGAAATAAGCTCTTGTATCTACATCTAAACCTACTGCATACATGTGATGCAAATCTGTAAAATTTGGACTATATCTTCATCTTTCTAATTATTAAATTTATAATTTATGTCTTATAAAATATAAATTTTTATTGTCTTAGTTTTTTCTATATTAATCTTTATTAATAGCAAAGAAGTTAAGTTAATATAGTAGGATATGAAGATAATGAATCTATCTTGAATCCTCTTTTAAATTCTGGTTTACGGAAAGGGGAATTTACTTTTGTATATAAAAATATATTATTAAGATACAAATAAATAAATAGTTATTTATATAAGGTTTAATATGTTTATATAACATAAGTAAGAGAAAAATACTGATTACAAAATAGTTATTTCTACGCAAATACTTAGTATAAATTTTTTAATAATTAACAGGCTTTTAGTCCTTTAAGGAATCGAACCTTAGTAATCTTAAGGATGACAAATGAATATTAAGATTAGATTTATAAAAATCAAGAATTTAATTAAGGGGGAGGCTAATGGTTTCCCTATATTAGCTATTAATCAACAATTTGATATTCAAATACTTGTTCTTTACTACCTAATACTCCTAAAGGATAATTATTTTTAGCTTCATATGAATGGTGTCTAATAAATTTGAACATTAAGTCTGCACGTCTTTGACTTTCTGTGTTTATATGATAATTAGGAGAAGATTTAATATACTGATTATTATATTTAATTAAGAGTCTTACTGTTACAAACTTAGGATAATTAGGGTAAATAATATCTTTGAAGAATTCATTTACTAATGAACTTACATCAATATTAGGAAAAGAATTTAACTTAGTACTTGTAAATTTGTTATAAGTAATTCATTTCATTGTACAGCCTTAGGAATCGAACCTAAATCTAAGGGGCATGAGCCCTCATGTTAACCAATTACACCAAACTGTATTAATGGACATAAAAATTTAGCGCTAAATTCCAGATAAAGAAGAAAAATAACTAATTTAAGTTGACGGTTTAAACCTTACCTTTTAGTTTAATTTTTTTTTAATATTTAGTATAGTTAAATTTAAACCGTATAGTATTGCCTATAAATTAATAATTTATAGGCCTTAAGTTATAGTTACTTTTCTAAAGGTAATAAATATTTTTTAACTTTCTTTAAGTAAAAATCAGAAGAAAATCTATTATGATACAATTTATCTATTATTAATCTTTGTAAATGTAATTCACTATTTTTATTTATTAGTTCTTTAGTTATAACTTTAAAATATTTATACTTACCTACATCTACATTCATTTTTAAGTTTACAGTTACTTCATAAATTGTATTATCTGGGAATGAGTTATTAAAAAAGTCTTTAAGAAAATCAATTACTATATTAGGTGAAATACCGTCATTAAAAGTTAATATGTATTTTTCTTTTCATTGCTTCTTTAGCTCTAATTTTTGCTAATAACGGAAAAAGGGGAAACCTAGAAATAAAACCTAGGTTTAAACTAAATAATATCTAATTATAGTAGCATATCCTTCAGATATTATATCTTCTTCTATTGGACTTGCTGGTAAAGAAATTAAGTTAGATAATCTATCAGTACCTGGAGTACTTGATAATGCTTCTTCACTAAAGGCTAGTCTAATTTACCTTCAATTATTGCCATATGACTTAAAGTTCTAGGTGTTCCTACAAACTGCATATCACGATTAAATATTCTAGTAGGTACATTTACATGCATACTATTTAAGAAATCAGAGTAAGAATCTAGACTAGAATAACTTTTATCAAATACACTTTTACCTGCTTGTACTGATTTATCTACTGTTATTAAAGTATCTGCCACTATAGGATCTGTTTGCATAGATTTACTTAACAAGTCTGTTTTATTTTATATAGATAGTCTGTTTGTATAGATTTATGTAACACTTTTGTATCTCTATGATTATTAGGAGTAATTGTTTTCTAATGAGTCAGTAGAAGTGGCTAATTCTTTTTTTCATATTTCCAATACTTGAACTAGATCCTGGATCTCCACCTTTATAATAAAAGTATAACTAAACACCTAATAAAGTTATTATTAAAGTAGCTCCAGCTATATAATAGTAAGTGTTATCAGATACTAATACATCATTTAGTGGTAGATTCGAAGTATCTATCATAGATATAGAATTACCTATATTATCTGATTCTACAATAGGAGAATTTACTTTATCAAAACTAGAATTTAAACTTTGTTCTTTAAATCTTAAAGGTGATGGTAAAGTATTAGGTTTAGTGCTTCTAAAATAAAAAAAAAATTTAAACCTATTAAATATTCGCAGTATTTACTTATAGCAGTAAATAAAGTAGTCAATATACAATTAAAGATATAAAATATTAAAGCACTTTTTAAGTATATTGTAAAGGTTTAAAAATTAAATTTGCTTTTCATCTCTACTTTTATAGTTTTAATACCTATTACTTTTATAAATTTATTATTAATTTAAACATTAAAGTTAAAGTACCTAGTAATAAGGGGGAGGGTACTATAAAAATATTATTTTTATAGGCCTCATAAGATTTTCTTCCTATATTATTTAGTTAATTTAGTTAAATATACTCTAACTACATTTCTATATGTAAATAAAGGTAAAACATATTTAGATAAAAAATATGTTAAGAAAATTAATGTTAATAAACCAAAAGAAAGTTGATTTAAAAAGTAAAATGGTATTAATTGTGGCATATAATTTAAATTTTTATTTTGTACTATCTCTACACTATTGTACTATTATATAAGGTTTAAGCCTAATACTCTAATACAATTTATAGTTTAATTTATTTTGTAATATTTATTACAAAAATAGGAGACACTAATAATCTAAATATATTTTAGATGATAAAGGTATTATATTATTTAAATAATAAAGGATATATACTATATTTTATGTGTTGTTCATACTTTGATAGTATAAGCTCCTTTTCTGTTTTTACTAGTAAATACTGCATAATCAGATATATTTTTATTATTTATTTTAAATCCACCTAATTGTTTCTTTTGTACAGTTATTTTAGGCACTATTCTATCTCTACTTAATCTACCTGATACTTGTACTCTTAAACCAGTTAAAATACTAGGTATATTTTTATATCAATAGAAAGTTTCTTTTTTTCTCATTTTTATTACAGGTGCAAAGCTACTATCACTTTTAATAAATTTATTTCTTAAATTAGCTTTAGCAAAAATAGTTTTCATTATACCTACAAATCTAGATTTTTTTGTATTCAATCCTATCAATTGTGATAAAATAGTACTATCATGGAACGGATATTTTAAGTTACATAATTGTACTTCAACTTTTTTACCTAATAATAAACTTAATTTTTCAATTAAATTATTCAATTTAGATTCTAATTTAAATTCTATATTTACTGGCTTTGCTGGAGTATCATTATACTTATTTTTGTATTTATTAATACTCTTTAAACCTGGTTTAGGCATATAATACATAATAAATATTACTATTTTATTAGGAGTATATAAAAATAAAGGTTTACTGATTAAACATAAATAATTAGCAAAGAAAGATACTAATAATGTACGTACCATCTTAAATAATTTAAAGTTTTTTACTTGATTTAAATTGCTAAAATTATAAATAGCATTTAAACGACTATCTTTATTAAGTCTTTTTAATATAGATAATTTATCTAATCCTTTTTCTAACATTTTTGTATAATAATTTTTTTGTAGCCTTTCTCCTCATACTCCAAAGGAGGGAAGGAGGCTAGGTTTATTTTTATACTAAAGAAAATTTTAATTCTTAGTATTAAATAAAGAAAATTTAGGCTTTTTTTATTCTTCTTTTAACACTTAGAGTACTAAAACCAAATATCTTTATATAGAGATATAGGGGATAAAAGGGGCCCACATATAGGCTGGTTTACACAGAGTATGCCGTAAATGTATGATGATAAAAACTAAACAAAATGATGAAAAAAATTATTAAATTATATAAAACCTTATTTGAATAAGGTTCTACAATGTAAATATTTAATTGAAATATGTATTTTATTGTATATAGTGTATATATTGTGATGTATTTCTAATCCGTTAACTGATATTACTTTATTAAGTATATTACCAGTAGCTTCAGTTGAAAGATGAAAAAAAATTTATACATCTAATAGTATAGAAATGATATTATTATATTTCTTTAAAGAGTTCTTATTCAATAAAGATGAAAGCGTTATATATGCTATTCAATTTAAAAAAATTAGATCTGATAGTGCTATTAGATCAATAGGTCCAATACAATATGTAAATAAAGAATGTTATAATAAATTACAATCTTATTATGAAGTATTAGCTAATTCAGTAGCATCTTCAAGTGAAGTTAAACATGAAGAAGAAGAAAATAAAAATGTAGTAGAAGAAAAAGTTTGATTAGTATATAAACATTTTCCTAATATTGATAAACCTATATTAAACTTACCCTATAAAGGTGACTATAGTTAATGGAAATAAACTTCCTAATACTATGAAATTAATAGATTGAAATAAGTATGTTACTGAAATAACTAATGGTGTGCATCAATTCACTAAAGATGGATTAATATATACATTTGTTATTGAATATACAAATAAAGAGAGAATACATCATGTAAAAATCTATCATTCTGATAGTGGAAGAGAAGTATAAAATTTACTGATACATGTGTAATAGAACATATGTCATATAATACTTTTATTAGAAATATAAACAATAGAACATATAAATATGTTAACGGAAGAATTTATGATTATCAAAATAAAAATTGAAACGAGATTTATAGATATTCTACCTAAATGTAAAAAATCTGATTATATTCTAAGAAATAATATATTAACTATGGATCTAGAAACTAGAAAATTAGTTTCAGGTACATTAGAAGTAATTTCCATTTGTATATATGATGGAAATGTATATAAAACATTTTATATAGCCGATTATAACATGAATAGTGAAGAAATGATTTATGATTCAATATTGTATTTATTTAAAGAAGAATATAATAAATATGTTGTTTATATTCATAACTTATCTAAATTTGATGTTATATTCTTAGTAAAATCTTTATCTAGATTCATGAGTGAACATAAAGTAGAAACCAAATTTATTTATAAAGATGGTGATATGATTTTAGTGTCATTAACTTGAAATAAAATAAAAATAACTTTTTATGATTCATATTTAATACTTCCATCTTAGATAAATTAACTAAAAACTTTTGTACTAAAGAAAAAGGTAAACACAATCATGAAGAAAATGATAAAGCTGATTTGGTTAATGATTTAGAATTTAAAAATAGATTATTAACTTATAATAAATTAGACTGTGAAATACTATTCGATATTATTAAAGACTTTTCTAATGAAATATTTAATATGTTTAAAGTAAATACTATCTTTACACCAACTTTAAGTAGCTTAGCTATGTCAATATTTAGAAGTAACTTCTGAAAAAAGGATACTAATATATCAATAACATCTTTAGAAATGTATAAACATATTAGAGATGGTTACAGCGGTGGTCATGTTGATATGTACAAAGCCTATGGTAGAGATTTATTTTACTATGATGTAAATAGTCTATATCCTACAGCAATGTTAAATTACAAATACCCTGTTGACCATCCTACTTATTTTGAATATGAAGGAAACGTAAAAGACTTCTTTGGTATTGTATATACAGAAATTACAGCTCCTAAAGATTTAAATGTTCCTATTTTATTAACAAAATATAATAATAGAACTTTAGCTCCATTAGGTAGTTGAAGTGGATGATACTGTACCGAAGAATTGAAAAATACTCTTAAATTTGGTTATAAAATCAAAGTAATTAAAGGATATAACTTTGAAAATAAAAAATATATATTTAAAAATTATGTTAATACCTTATACTCTAATAGAATTAAATTTCCTAAAGA